ATGATACATTAGCATGACTTGATACTCTTAGGTGCCCAGCTAATTTAGCCAATGTAGATAACTGTTTAAAACATCATCATCTTCTTCTTCAAACTACTAGATTTTTCCAGCAAGGACTACCAAATAAAGAAAGAGTACCAGGACAAAATTACCGAGAAATTTTCGGCAAGGATAGAAGCTCATGATTTTCAAAAAGCGGAGCAGACGGCTGAGGTATTTTCTTCCATTAGACAAATTACACCAAACTAAATCTATCGGTTGCTCAACATTAGAGAATTACAACCGATAATGATAGACGTCATCGAACACAAAATAAGGATCTTCCTGTTTTAATCAATTTTTTCGATGTGGACAACTTTACGTTTGCCTTACTTGACTACATGTGGAGCTCTCTACATAGATGGGCTTATAATAGCTCGTGGGAAGAAAAACAGTGGTCCATTCCTTTTAACTGGGAATCTAATTAAAATTAGCTCTCCAAATTAAATAGAAAGATAAGACTTAAAAGCACTTCCAATCATGAAACAGTGAGCAAATTTTTTACAGTTTTTATACTGAGCTTCCGTGAGTTATATAGTAATTCAGTAATTTTACAATTTCTTGCCGCCTGATCGAATTCTGAAAAACTTGTTTGATAAAGGAGATTAACGATAAATGTTGGATTGTTTGTAGAAGCATAACATGTGAAAGATAAAACAGCGGTAGAAAGTACCTGTTCAGATTATTAACAAATTTGTGAGCAACGTGACTGAAGGCAAAATCCAAAATATGGTTCAAGCAGATGTCATTAGAGGTAATTTGTCTGTTATTAAAATTTGTAAACTGCAAGTTTTTTTTTAATCTCAGGGGCGTTTTCATTGATTGTCAACGCTATTTATTTTACTGCAAAGTGGGATCACAAGTTTTACAAATGGGGCAATAGCAAGAAGATGTTCTTCACTTCGAAAGGAAATGGAAGAGAGGTAATGTCATAGAATGTGTTCTTACACATCAACGTAAGACTTGAAAGGACTTCCTTGTCTTCCTAAAATAGTGTTAAGTTAGGCTTGGTCTGCCTTCAAACGCTGTTTGCTCTTTAATGTAGTTCCTCCGTTAACAATGTGAAGAATGACTTGACATCAATGTCATCTCTTTCTCGGTTAAATTTTGTTACCTTTCTTCTGAACTATGCTGTTAATATAAAGCGAATCTACAGCGACAAGTTCAAGAATTTAGTCAATTTTGTTATTTTTAAATTATGAGTCCTGCTTTGTGCTTATATCGATGCAAATGGAGCATTTCGAAGGGTATTGCATAATTTTTCTTGGAATAGGTTTCTTAAGGAAACAGTGTTCAAAACTCCCAATCGGGCAGTGTTCCTCTAAATCTTGTGTAATATGTAGTAAATTCATTGTACTAAGTAGAACCTATAACAAAGCAAACAAGTTAACTTAAAGTCGAATGGTTGTTTTCCCATACCTTCTACAGAGAAAAAATTCATTTTCAGATTGAATTTATGAATCATGCGCAT